TGCCCAACAAGGCCAAGAAACAGCAAGTCAAGAGATGAATGGCTTGTCCAGGAAAAGTAAAATCTCCTGATTAGGATTTGGACCATTTCCATGCAATAAATTCTTAAATTATATGAAGCCCACTCAGCCAGTGCCTTATCCAGGAGCAGGACAACCTTAGAATTCAAATCTAAATTTCACCGTTTTTGTGTGTGCTGAGTACTTTTAGATCACACAAGTCCTAGAATTCTAGACTCGGTCAAGTCTATTTTGGACTGCATAAATAACCAAAAAACGCTATACAGCAATCATACAGGATGACATTAAGATGTCAATATTTCAGCAACAGAAAGGCAAAGCAAAGGTCTCAACTGAGCAATGTTATGCAGATGGGAAAACAAAATCCTCTTACCAGCAAGATACCTATAAAGTGAAGACAGCATACAGTAGTATCTTATATGACATGCTGTAAAGCCGTTCTCAGGAGACACAGCTTGGTGTGTTTTTATAGCCAGGTGAATTGTGTACTAAAAGTCTCATTAAAAGACACTTTGAATCCATGTAAAAGCACCAGCACAATTTCAAGGCTTTTTGTACACATTATTAAAAAGACCAAGATGAGAACTATTAATAAGAAATTGCTGCACTTATTTTGAACAATTTACTTTAAGATTTCTATATTACAGCAATAGACAAGAGTTAATCAATTTATGGCCCTTCCAATCTGCTCTTTAAAATGCTACATTTATCCTACCAATTAACAATTATTAATAATCTAGATTTCAAGAAATATAAAAGGTGAATGTGTTCAACATAATATTAAGTACCTAATTTATAATTAGGCATTTCAAAAAATAATAATCCCATCATATTGTAAAGTTTAAAATTAAGAAAACAATATTCATGCTGTATAGGACTGTTGAGTAGATTAACAAGCAACTGAACAATAAGTAGTTTCAATCAAGGTTTAAGTGATTTATATAAAGTATATAAGATTATTGAGCCACAATAGTAAAAGGAAAAGCAAACAATTCTATGGAACTACATATATCATCTGGCTGCCATCCCCAAGTACGTATCAGGTGACATATAATTAATTGCTTACACTTATATACTTATATAGCGCTTTTCTGGATACTCCACTCAAAGTGCTTTACAGGTAATGGGGACTCCCCTCCACCACCACCAATGTGCTATCAGTGGGGAGGAGAGTAATGAAGCCAATTCACAGATGGGGATTATTAGGAGGCCATGATCGGTAAGGGCCAATGGGAAATTTGGCCAGGACGCCGGGGTTACACCCCTACTCTTTTCAAGAAACGCCCTGGGATTTTAAATGACCACAGAGTCAGGACCTTGGTTCTACGTCTCATCCGAAGGACGGCGCCCGTTTACACTATAGTGTAGTATTTACACTATAGACTACAGTGTAAACAGTCACTATACTGGGGCATTAGGACCCACATGGACCGCAGGGTGAGCGCCCCCTGCAGGCCCCACTAACACCTCTTAAGCAGCAACCTTAGTTTTTCCCAGGAGGTCTCCCATCCAGGTACTGACCAGGCTCACACCTGCTTGGCTTCACTGGGTTGCTAGTTGTGAGTTGCAGGGTGATATGGCTGCTCCTACATATAAATGTAGGAGTTTTGCTCTAGGCAAGCCTTTTCATATTTATGTTATTCTATAAATTATTTTGAAATTTATGTCAATTTCATTTTGAAATTACTTTTGCCATTAATTGCAAATCCTCTTCCTGACATTGTTCAGTGATGTGAGAAAACTTTAGCAGTCTGAGCACTAATCCATGCACTTAGAGAAGAAATTCTAATGAGCACTCACTATGACAAGCAATAAAGACTGTCCAGAATGACTATTTAGGGTGTGAAAGATTAAATGTTTTGGCTGATTGCCAGTAGTCACTTCAGAAAACAAAGGATAAAGCTGGCCTGGCCTTAATATGCAAAACATGTCCGTCTTTCAACATGCTCTAAATAACTGAATCTAGGTCATGAGAGAAAGAAAAACAGTTTACACTCTGAAACACCCTTTTATGCAGTTAATGGCTAAACCAATCAGAATACATTGAATGTAAAATACTGTATAGTTCTGGAATAAAGCTGGAAAAATGTTTGAACTTAAATTTATAATGAAACACAAAATAGTAATATACTATTTTAAACAAGGTAGCTCATGCAAACACATACCCAAGTATTCACAAGAAAAATAAATATTATTTAGGCAATGAAATACAACTACTGGTGATAACTGAAATTCAAAGACTGAAAAGGCTAAAGTTGTGACAGAAGCCAAGGATACAACCAA